TCCACTTCTTTCTTATTCTTCTTCCTTCTCGCTTTGTTGCTCCCATTATTAATATATCGCCCTGTTCTTCGTTGAGCACCAACTCCCCACCCTCACCCCCATCTATACATATATACGCATACATTCGTACTCCTCGAACTCGTCACTACCCTACCTACCCCCCCGTTTGGGGTCGTCCACCAAGAAGATCGTTCGCCTACGCGATTATAAATAGTGTTAAAACCTTTGTCGGCTTTTCTCTATTTCCCTGGTTTCAAACAACCCGTTTCATCCGTATCCCTACTCTAAGGCGTAAACGGGAGACTTCGTATCTGCCTTTTTTCCTCCATTCCCCGTTAATGATTTGTTTCTTCGACTGTCGTGTATCCACCGGGTCTTTATCCCCTCTTTTTAAAATAGCGACTACTTCCCTCGTGCTCGCGAGACGAGAAAATTAGATAAATCGAAATGGGATGGATGATCGTTCGCATAAACGACGAATGAAAATATTTAACGGTCGTTAAATATAACCGTTAAATATTCTATCGTTTAATAATGCCTATTATACACGCGTATTTATATATATATTTTCATCTTTTCTATAAGAAAATTTAATAACAACGATGAATTTTTATCATCGATAATAATCATTCTCATTGAATATTTTCTTCCTCGAATATATACAAAGTATCCTCCAATATTGTTTTTTCTACCTTTTGTTAAACAAATATAATAACATTAAATCTAAAAAAATCAAATAATAAATGAATATATATAAGAATATCGTTTCTCTAATATCAATTTACGATTCTATTTATTCGTGTAATTAAATGATAGAATTTAATGTTGTAGAAGAGAGAGAGAGAGAGAGAGAGAGAGAGAGAGAAAGAGAAACAGATTGGAATTTAAAAAGCAAGCACGCCGGGATCGTCTATCGTCGGTGCATCGGTGCGTTACCGACCTCCTGGCGTGGGAAGAAACAGGAAGAGAAAAAGAGAAAGAGAGAGAGAAAGATGAAAGGTATCGAAGAGGGGGAAATGGACGCGTGGCTGGGCGCACGTTCGAACCATCGTGTGTCAAACTCGCGGTGAGTAGTGCGAGCCACCGCTATGTCCAACAGCGTGCCGCGAACTGTTCACCGTTAAACGCCCATATAAATAGCACACGTCAAAGTGTGTGTGTGTATGTATGTATGTATGTGTGTGTGTTAGAAAGAGAGAGAGAGAGAGAAAGAGAGATAGATAGAACGTGACAGGTGTCCGCTCGGAGAATAATTAAAATCATGGTATAAGTGAGCTCCGTATAATGATTCGATTAAGTATCGAGAGAGAAAAACAGATAACGAGAGAGAGAGAGAGAGAGAGTGAGAGAGGGAAAGAGAGAAAGATAGAGATATTTAAATGCCAATACGTCAAGTAAACGTGGGCTTGAATTACGATCTTGTCGAACGATCGACGTGTATCACTAGTCTGTCTCTTCCAACTTGATCGTTAGCATCGTTTCGAGGAACACTCGAATTTACTCTCGCGATCGAATTTAATCGTTTCGCGTGGTGGTTTTCGTGACAACGTATGAATGAATTGATTTGATTATTCGACATTTAGAGGATAGAAATTTTAAGACGGTATAATTAAATGCTTGATCGATCGTTCGATCGATCGTTTCGTTTCGTTTCGGACTTGTTTCTTTTTCTCTTTTTTCTTTTTTTTTTTTTTTCATTTAAAATATACGACGCGACAATGTTATATTATTGTGTAACTTTTAGATAAAATAAATATTAATAGATATAACGTATTATAACTAAGCATATATAACTTCTATTAATATACATACATAAATACTAATTGTATGTATTGGTATATTTATGAATATTTATGAACAATACACGTGTTACCAGTTTTTATTTGAGAATTGTGAACGCGTGCGAAACTTGCCGACCTTCCTTCTAGTCTTTTATTAGTATCCTCCATGTTAAAACGAAGAGGAGGTATTATCAGCGTGAAAATCTTTTGTTTCACTTAACTTTTCTCTCATTCTCTCTTTCTCTTTCTTTATCCTCTCTATGCTTTTCTCGTTTCCGCTCTCACACAACTTTATCGTTTGAATATCGCGTATCGTTCTTTAGAACAACGTAAGTAGGCTTTTGACACGCGAACGATTATGCCAACTCCGGTTATGCAATTAGGTACATTATATGGGGAGCAAACCGCTCCTCTCATCGACGTTTACGTTGATAGTTTTTTTGCTATTATTTTCTATGATAAATATATATTCTCTCCAATTAAATGCACGAGAATTTTCTCTTTTAAAATAATTAAATTTAATTATAATGTAGTTATATATATATATATATATAAAAAGAAAAAATACTTATACCGTAACAAATGTGTCAAGGGTAATTAAAAATGTTACAATATGTAATTATTTCTTAAGATAATTATGAACGAAAAATTGAAAATATATTTACCTGAACCTTGATGAACAAACTTTGTTTTTAAATTTAATTATCAATATTCTTGTCCAGAATTAAATATTATTAATATAAGTCTCAAAGGGAATTTTGGACGGTTGTTAAATCTTAGGAACAATTTATTTTTAACCAGTTGTACGTTTCGTCCCTTACTTGGGACTTCATCAGCAACTCGATCTTTAAACTTTGTTGTTTTGTTGTTTTTAAACTTTGACAATTAAGATTATACATTTGAATTATATATACATATATACTTTTGTTCAAAAATCTTTTTGTAATTAAAATAGAATATAAAAAAGGAATCTTTCCCCTCCCCCTGGAGTTCCCCTGCCCCGCCCCTTGTATATCGAAAGTAAAGAGCAGCAATTAAAGTGACCGTATATCGGTGTGTTGAATCGTTCTATCGCAATGGTGTTTTCTCATTTTCTCGTGCGCGTTTGCGTTCGTGAATGAAAGCCCGTCCCGTTGCAGCAAAGAGTGAGTGAGTGAGTGAGTGAGTGAATCAGTCAGGCTGGAAAGAATGGCGATGATATTTCATAAAGTCGAAGCGAGAAAACGGCACGCGAGTAAACGAACGAACGGTCGTCGGTTGGTTGCTAGAAGAGTAAGCGTGTGGCTATTATTACTGGCTCTTCGTTCTCTTTCTCTCTCTTTCTCTCTTTCTCTATTTCTTTTTCTCATTTTCTCTGTTTTTTATTCGTCTCTTTTCCTCTCTCTCGACCCCTTTCATTTTCCTTCCATCTCGTTCGGTATTCGTTACGCCGCAACGAACCATAGAAAACAATAAGCTGATTTCCGTAGTTGGTCCATTGAATACGATACTCTCTCTCTCACGTTGATAGAATCCGATACCAATGAAAATTTTGTTCCCATTCGAACGATCGTTTATTTGTTAATTTCGAAAAAGGGGAAGAAAATAGAAAAATGTGAAGATTGTATTGGGAATTAGATTTATTATATTATACAAAATTTCCTTAAAAGGATAAATTAAAGAATTGAATAAATAAAACCAATATATGTTTTTTTGATAATTAGAAAAAGGTGTACTGTTTGATGTAAACTATGTATTCCTTAATTTAATTATAAATAAGTATATTGGTATAATCGCATTTAAGAAAAACAATGGTATCCGAATATTAAATAAAGCTAGTCATTGTATAAAAATGTTAATACAAATAAAAGAAAAACGAAGAATTATTATTCCAAAATAACATAATTAACCAAAAATTGATCGTTCATGATGAAAATATATCAAAAATATTATAATACGTTCCATTGATAAGTAATTTATGAAAGAAATAATATTTCGAAACAATGAACCTCCTTGTTGTCCTGTCTCTATTTATCTCTTATTTTCTCTTTATTTTTTTTTATTTTTCATTTTTTTTTTAGCCAAAAGATGATGATAATGGAAGGGAAGAAACAATTCAAGATGCGGCGTGCCGCGCACGAGCCCAGCCCAGCCCAGCCCAGCCCAACCCAGCCCAATCGGAGTCTTGCCGAGAGAATTAGAGTGAAAGACGAGGACTACTACTACTACTATTACTACTAATACTACCACTAATATACAACGAAGAAGTTTCACGTGCGGTTCCGATCTCAAGACTAGACGAGTTAATCGGCCGCGGAAGCACAATAAACTCCGAGATAATAAACGGAGCGCCGTCGGTTGGTTTACCATAATAATGCCTTCCACCGTGGCAGATTCGTGCAGCACCCAAAGTCATCCCGAAACGAACACACAAGTACTATAAATAGTCGGAGAGAGAAAGAGAGAGAGAGAGAGAGAGAGCCTCTCTTCTTCTTCTCCTTTTCTTGCTTCCTCCCATCCTCTTACCTCTTTCCTCATCTCATCCACCATCTTCCTCCTCTCTTACCCCTTTTCCTATCTCTCTTTCTCTGTGTTTCTAACTCTCACACGTTTCTTCGAGTTTACCCGTCTTTCTCTACCGCATAGAAACTGCTTCATCTGATCATCTCTCCAAACACTTGAGGGAGGGAGAAAGAAAGAGAGAGAGAGAGGGAGAGAGCGTATGGTTATTTCAGAGAGCGAATATATATATCTATCTATCTCTCTCTATCTATCTCTATCTCTCTATCTCTTTCTTTAGTTTTCTCATTCTCTCTTCCGACGCGATATTATTACGTGGGCCACCGTATCAACGCACGAGAAGACGTTCCCGATAGTTACAAACCAACAACAAAGATCGCAAGCCTAACGAAAGATCAAAGAGTAGCAGCACCCGTTTCTATATTTTCCTCGAATGAAATCTCCGCGATTCGAGGGAAGTTGTTGGCGAGAGAGAGAGTTTGTTCATATACTGTCTAACATACACACACAAACACAAACACATACATATATGTATATATATATATATATAAATATATGTATACGTAACGTAGGTAGATATTATATCTATGTATCGGTGGAATAGATATGGAATTAGATCAGCGCCCACGATCGAATACTGAATTGAGACGAGTGAAATAGAGTTCAGAATACAAAGTTTATTATATATATATATATATATATATATACACACACCTATACCACCCATCTCGCGAATTACTTCCCATTGATATTCGTCCTGGTCCAATCGGTCGTCCGTACCGAGCGAATTAAAACGAAGACTCATCGATATAATAAGAGTTGTGGTTGTAGTAGTAGTAGTAGTAGTAGTAGTAGTTGTAATAGTAGTAGTAGTAGTCGCTTAGTTAGTATAGGTTCGATCCCTTCGGTAATTGCATTTATGTTCGATTCGATGAACGTCCTCAAAGGAGTCTCAAAAGGGAGACGAAAGATCCATATCTAGAAGGAAAACACGTCGTCAAACCTTCGTCCACGTTTCTCGTGCGTATTTCGAGGTACTTATACAAATGTATATATATATATAACTACATATACGTATGTGGATAGATTGCGTATAAATGTGTAAGTATATAAATACGTAAATAAATAGACACCCTCCTACCCTTCTACTGAAATTTCTTCGGTATTCCATTGGTTCGTAGCTTTTCTCTTCTCTCAACGATGGCAGGAGAGAACGGTCCCGTGTTACTCTTCTTCTATTACAGAAGAGAGAAACTGGAATGACGAAGAGTGGTGGTGGTGGTGGTGGTGGTACAGGGTGGTATATGCGGGATGAGGTGGGTGGTGGCGGGGTGAGGGGATTGGGGACTTGCTTGGATGGTTTAGATTTGCGGTGACAGGAGCGAACACTCGCAATGATTAATGGCTTAGCGCATTAACAGGCTATTGACAAACACGTTTCTCATCCGAGAAGCCTACGCCCTTTGCGCGATACTTCTCCCACCCCTTATTTCCTTCTCTCTCTTTCTCTTTATTCTGTTCTTCCTGTAACCAACGACGAAGATGAAGATGAAGACGACGACGACGTCAACGAAGGTGGTGGCGTCGGCTCAGCAATGAAAGGGAAGAAAGGGAAGAAAGATCGAAAAGAAGAGAACGATGGAAGGGTGTGCCCTTCTTAAATGCTCTACCTCGTGGAAAGAAAACCGAGTGAGAGAAAGAGAGAAAGAGATAGATAAGAAAGTAGGGTGGGGGAAGTGTCTTCTTCTTACATTGGCGTCGACAAAAACGCATCAACCCCTCGTCGTCCTCCCCCTCCCACCCCACCCCCTCCTTCGTTATCCCTGAAAGATATAACTCCCGAGTCTTTCTTTCTCTTTCAACCAACCCCTTTCTTTTTCTTTAGCAAAAGAGAATCTTTAGACGTTTTCACGATCTCGAAGTGTTATCGGTCTTTAAATAGCCGAATTTTCTCCTTTTCTTAGCACAAAGCTCTCGTTCTCTCTAAACTACACCCCCTTCCTTCTTCAACCCTCTTTTTCGCGCGAAAAAATCAACGATGAGACGATAAAACGGGGAGATAAAACTCGTTGGTGGGTTTTCTGTTTCTTTTGGTTTTTTCATTTTGTTCTTTTTTTTTTGTATCATGAGAAGTGAAAGAAGAAATTGATATAATTTTTTCTAATGATGACAGATTTATTCGTTTATTTCTTGAACGTCTCGAGAAATGTTAATCGATTCTTATATTTATAACTAGATACGATTAATAATAATCTTATTTAAATCTATATGCACGAATATAAATAATTAATTCGATCGTGAATGCTAAGTTTAAATGGGTGATTCGATGAAGAAGGAAAAGAGAGTAGGTTTAACAAGTATCAAAGTCATCGTTTATAATAACGATGTAAAAAATTATAATCATATTAAAACGTGTGAGAAATAAAAGATATAATTAACATAGTTACATTATTATGAATTGCGTAATATAATCATAAAAATAAGGAAGATCGTAAATTTGAACGAATTAAACCCCTCGCGAAATACGAAAGATTTCTCTTTGAATTTACATTCGTTCGAAATATCGATCCTAGGATTGTTTCTCTCTCTTTCTTTCTCTGTCTTTCTTTGTTAGTTCATTGGTACCCTTTCTCGATCGTTGTCCCCGATTATTGTAACTGCTATCTCATAGCGAGTTGAGTTAGATCGCGTTGCGTAATGTGTAAATACGTTTTATCGTTTGTTCGAGATAAGTATCTACAACATGCGAGATCTAAGCGCGAACTTCAACGTCTATATAATCCGACTGTTTTTCTCACGAGTGTAAAACCTATTTTGACATGAATAATAGACAACCTATTATCAATCCTAATAAAAAAAAATTAAAAAAAAATTGATCATTTTGTTATACGTATAAATAAATATCAAAGTTTACAAGTGAAAATAATTATTATAAATAATTGCACGAATGAAGAATTAATTTATACAATTCGTTGAAATAATCTGATATAGATATATAGAAGACATATATGTGTAATAAAAAATTTGCAGACGCCGGAAGAAGGAGAAGATACGTCTCGTTATTTCAATTCAATCAAAGTTATATTTACGTATGTATTGTACGGATACATATATACGCATAATATAAAGGTATCTCCTCCTATCTCTAACGGATATATCAAAGATGAAAATAAAAAGGAAATATATATATATATATATATATATATATATATATATATATATATATATATACGAAGGGCGAATAATAAATCCTGGCAACATTATTCGCATCGATGTTGCGGATGGAAGCGAGACGCGAACGAAGAGTAAGGGAACGAACGGGGTGGTACTTGGAGGACGAGCAGACCGATTCGAGAGGGCGACTATATCGGCTTTGGAACTGGCGTTGGTGGGTAAAGAGGAGGAGAAGGAGGATGAGAAAAGAGAGATAGGGTGAAGGGGGGGTGAGGTGGTGGGAGGGTTAGTGGGAGAGGGAAAGGGCTGGCATTCAAATGTCGACGGGAGGGCAGGCACCGTCGTCTCTCGCGTACACGATCGTTGGGCTTGTACTTTTCATATCGCACGTACGAATACCTTTACGTGGGATAGGTAGTTATCCAGGCATATCCGGCTCCATATTGAAATTCGACGGGCCAGCGATAGAAGAGATCATCGTTTTCTTCCTCTTCCGTTTTTTTCCCTCATCTTTTTTCTTTTTCTTTCTTTCTTTCTTTTTTTTCTTTCTTTTTGTTGCGATCCACTTTGGCATTTGATTGGATTACGTTATGCTGCACGTACGTAGTTGCACCGTGCTACCGGATACATAGATAGAAAGAAGATGCATCATCTTTCTCCTCTCTTTCCAATATAATGTGCCCGTTGCTTCTCAACATACTTGTTTCTACGTATTACCAACCGTATTTGTAGTCGTGTACACAAGAATACGCACGCGCATACGTATAAACTCGTTAGATGAGAAGAGGATAGTGCGACGAGAGAATCGTATATATATATATATATACATATATATATGAAGAGAACTGAGGAGATACGACCGCCGACATACATATGTATGCATACATACGTTAGTTCGTGTGTCGTTTCTTGCACATCGTGCGTATACATATATATATGTGTGTATTATATATGTATGTAGGAAGAACACCGTTCCGAGAGCAAATTCGAGGAGCGAGTCTTTTTATGCTCCTCTATCCTCTCCTTCTCTTTTTCTCTCTTTCTCTGCTCGTCTCTTTCCAGCTTCTATTCCGTCTCCTCCTCTTATGTCTCTTTTTGAGACCTCTTCTCTTTCTCTATCCTTTTTCTCTCCTTTACTCGTGTTCTCTTTCCATGCGTATGCATCGATGGGCCACGTGCATGGGCAGGCAAGCAGGCAGGCAGGCAGGCCACGGTTTTCGCTCCGTCCTGACGAAGGTCCCTTTCTATTCGGCATGATGATTCCCTCTTTTCGATTTACGCTCTTGCCGTATTGCTTACCGCCATCACTATACGCCACGCGCGCGCTATAACGAGCGATTTCTCGCTCGTCCGTATTTATAAAAGGGATATCCCGTTTGGCTTTCTAAACAAATTACTACAGATCTACGTACTCTCGAAAAATTTTTCGGCTTACTCGTGAGAATTCTCTTTTTCTCTTTCTATCACTTTTTCTCTCTTATTCTTTCTTTCTTTCTTTGCCCTTTTTTTTTTCCTTTTTTCTTTATCTTTTTGTCTATACCAAGCTCGATCCATGGATTACGATTCCAAGTGCCTTTATCAATCCATCATCATATATCGATAACGAAAAGTAGGTAGGTAGGTAGGTAGGTAGGTACTATTTGTACGTTACGATCGTTAGAAAATGAATAATTAGAAAAATTCGCGAGGTATTTTTAGAACGGAGATAATAATCATTGCGAATGAGATATATTGAAAATATAGTATATAAATTTGTTTTAAAAATCTTTTATTAGCCGAACGAAGGAAGGAAGGAAGAAACGAATCAAGTCAAATATATATTTATAGTTATACCATATCTATCTACATACGTAAAAAGGAAGTCGAAGAAAGAACGGAAAAAGGGGAAGAAGAAGAAGAAGAAGAAGAAGGAGAAGGAGAAAAGGGGGCGGAGGTGGGTGGGGAATATCGTAAGACGGTCGCGTTCATTCCCATTTGTGGAATCCTAGGAATCGCACAATCGTGGCCAGGATTCTCCTCCGGTGGGTGTTCCTCGTTGGCACACCGTGGCTCGAGGTAGGTGAACGGGGAGGGAAGGTGGAGGAGGATGGAGGATGCGCGGAAGAGGGTCGAAACGGTGGCGGTGGAGGAAGAGAAGGAGGAGGAAGAGGAGGAGGAAGAGGAGGAGGAAGAGGAGGAGGCGGCGGCACCGGAGTTGGGGAAAAAGGGAGCTGTTTCTGAAGGAAAGAGAGAGAAAGGGATAGATAAATAGATAGAAAGAGATAGAGAAGGGTGGGTAGCTAGAGTGGGGGAGGATGTGGCTCAACTCGTTCGACCCATTCATGTTCCGATGAAAAGGCAGTGCCGAACAGACGTCGTGAAAAGAGAAGAGAATTATTATGATTATTATTATTAACCTTTCTATAGGAATGATTTTCCCTTTTCCCATCTGTCTTCGACTTTCCCGATGTAGATAAAGCCCAGGAGCCCGAAGAGTCTCCTCCTCGTCGTCCTTTCTCGTCCAACGAACGTGCGCAGACCCTTCTTTTTTCTTTTTTTTTTCTTTCTTTCTATCTTTCTCTCTTTTTCTCTGCCGATATTATTGGCAGGTTAATGTCGTTACGTCGTAACGCCGTCTCGACGCGAAACGATCCTCGTCGAATGATATTATATTTCTCTAGGAAAAAACGAAATAATTACCGTGCTACTACTATTTATTTATATATATATATAAATATTTTGTTTCTTTATATTAGAAATATTCTATTTAAAAAAAATATATATCAATGATATTCGTTATAATGACACGACATTAACAAAGTATTATATTAATATAATATAAACGAATCTCTTAGATGGTACTCTTGTATAATCTTTTAACAGTAAGAACAGAGAAATATATATATACAGAGAGAGAAAGAGAGAGAGAGAGAGAGAGAGGGAGAATAAAAGAAATAAGAATATAAAAAGAGAAGACATGTGCCAGAATTAGAAGCGTCTGCGTTCAAAGAGAGAGAGAGAGAGAAAGAGAGACTTTGGATCGTAGTACAATGAGACTGTTGTTTGACGCGGAATCGTCCGAGCAAAGATCTTGTTCATCGAGGTGATGATGCTTTTGCCTTTCAGAATAAAGCCGAGAAAGAGAAAGAAGATCAGAACGAGAAGATTCGGTAGAGGAGAACATGGTTAAGGAACTGTCGAGGAGAACGAGCAGGAAGAGGGGTAGGGGGATGATGGTGAGGGGTGTAGGAGGGGGAAGGGGGAGTGTCGAAGGTCGAACATAAGGGAATTTACGCGTTTCGGTGTCCGGTCTCTCCTCTCTACTACGAATCACAACACACTCAACGTAGTTTCTTCTCCCTTTTCGAATAGAATGAATGAGAGAAAGAGGGAGATGAAATGTATATAAATATATATGTGTGTGTAAGTGTGTGTGTATGTGCCTTCCTGGCATCGTCATTCAAAACACGTGGTCCATATTAACGGCATCGCCGAATAATGGGGCCGAGCGTGGCCAAGCGAAGAGCTGGGCTTCAAGAGAGCACCCGATCCACTCGACTGTCCAAGCTCAATTATGCTGACTATCGTTCGTGCATACCACTATTTCTCTCTTTGTCTCTTTTTTTCTCTTTTTCTTTCTCTTTTCACATTTTCTCGAATACGTTGAAGAATACGATGCACGATTAAGCAATCTCTTGAAACGAACATCGGAAATCCTTCCTCCCCCGCACAACGCCCTATTCTCGTCAACTCGATCGAATAATCATATTTCAGATAATTATTATTGATTTATTTCTTGTTATATTACAATAAGTTAAATAATTAAATAATAGAAATTGTTGTTTTGTGATTTAATTTTTATATAGATATATTGTTTGTATTCATTGGTGTGTATTTAAATATTTGAAAAAGAAAAATGATTATTATATTATATTCATATTTATAGATAATAGATTATTAATGGAATATTTGCATGAGAAAAGTAATATGATATTTATTTAAAAAAAGTTTATATTTTAAAAGAAATGATTATATTCATTACTGCGTTAACATATTTTGAAATGATTATATTGTATTATTATTCTTTATTAATATTAATATTTTTAAATAATAGATTAAAAATATAATATATTAGCATGTGAAAAATAATGAAATTTATTTAACGTAAGTTCATATTTTAAAAGAAACTTTTCTATTCATTACTCTATTTACACATATTGTATAAAAATTATATAATATTTATATAAAAATTTAATTAATTAATGTATATATTATATTATATTAAACCAATGATTAATAAATTAGAAAAAATAATTAACAAATAATAGAATATAAACAAATAAATATATATTTAAATATAAAAATTATTTGTTTCTTCCTTTCCTAAATCGGCGATAGTCCATCGAAATTTCTTTTTGGCAAAGAGAATAATATTGAACGCGCCATAGCGTGTAAAGGAAAAAACTCGATCATGGTTTTAACGGTAGAGAAGAAAGGGAGGAAAGAGTGTGTGTGGGGAGGGGGTGTCTAGGGAGAGTTCTGGCGCGAGTGCCTTTTCTTTCGTCGTCGAGAGAAATAAAACAAGGGGCAAGGGAAAGATCGGAAGGAAGGAAGATATGGGGGTGGGGGTGGGCGGGGGTGGTTCGGAGATATGGTAGAAGGCAAAGAGAGAGAAAAAAAAAAGAGAAAAAGAGAAAGATAGAATGAGCTTACAAAGCGGCTCTTGTTGAAGAGGGTCCATGAAGAAGGAACGAAATTGTGCGTGGGAGTAGTACGCGTACGATATATATTTTGCAATTAGTATAAGAACGGCATCGACCAGTCCTAACGTGTATACATATCGACTCTCTGTGATCTCCTCGAGTGCTCAAGCCAGGACCATTTGGCCCCTCTTTTACTTTCGGAGATATTCTACTTTTATTCTTCGACTTCAAGCAATATTATATGTATACAAATAAAAGTATAAAAAGACTATAATATGCTTCTATATAATGAAAGGAAATTGAATTGAATGAATAAGAGTAATGTTAGTTTTAAGGGGTTGCTTGTGTTTAGTCTTCGTCAGATTTTTATCTCGCATACACTTTTTTTTTGCCTTTTTTTTTTTTTTAAATACTAGATACTTTTTTTTAAAGTTGTTTAATTTAAAATAATTATATTATCATCGGTTATAGATTTTTAAATGACACTCTGTAAAAATTTCTATATAAGATTAATTCTTTATGCAATATTGATGCGTTAAGTTAATCGAAAAATCGCGCTTGTTTAAATGGAATTAACATCGAAATGTTTGATACTTTTAATAGGAAAAAAAAAAGGTTCAATCAAAAATACTATGTAATTATAGATAATTTATTGAATACAAGTTGTGTTAGGTAAAATAAGAATTGAGAATAATCACGATTGGATAAAATACATTAAAGGAACGATCTGTAATCATGTCTGTAATAAAATTTTTAATTTTTAACGAACAAAGATTAGATTGCATTTTCAAATTTATAAACGAAATCTAAAATATCGTATACACCAAATTGATTATTATATAGGATAAAAATCCAAGAAAGTAAAAATATAGGATACCGTATTATTTTATGAGCGAGAAATTTACGAGAATGTTTCGGAATATCATTCATAGAGAGCTGTTCCTTGGTTGCATTTGAAAAGTGGTTATAGCCAAAATGATGTCTAACCATCGCGGTAAGAGATAGCCAATACCTTAAAAAGAAAAAGAAGAAGAAGAAGATAGAAAAAAAAAAGGAAATAATAAATTTAAGGACAAAGCAAAAAGATATTCTCTATTATCGTAGAAATATTATTTTTGTGTAAATTTTTTCTTACACACATATATCATCTCATATATACATATCTTTAGAAAATTCCTTAGAAAATGATGAAACGTCTTATTACGTAACAACGTTCAAGCCTAAAAGTTAGAAGACAATATTCTTTAATCTTTACACGGTCACGATGTGTAATCATTCAACTTCGCTTTAGCTACGCTGATAATGTCTTTACTTATGCCTCCACGTGTATAGACAAAGAGAAATCTTTTTTAAAAAATGTCTGCTAGCGTCTTCTATCTTTTCTTTTCTTTTCTTTTCTTTTCTTTACTCAAAACCAAAAGAAGAAGAAGAAGAAGAAGAAGAAAAAATGAATTTTATCCTAGACGTAATGTTATTCCAAAGAGTTTACGGAGCACGTTACTCGAGTAACAAGAAGCTACTAGTCGAAGGGTGACGAGACACAACGCGTCTCATTTGCTTAAGAATAACACCATTGGTTAAAGCTGCCGTTACGCGGTCACACGATGATAATACACGTGTGGTTTTTTTCTTCGTTTTCATTTCTCGGACGCACTGGGCGCCTTTGTCGGCTCTAGTTGAAAGTATCTATTATTTTGTAATGAACCAGAAAAAAAGGAAGGGAAAAAAAAGGAAAAAAAAAAAAAAAGAAATCGGAGAAAAAAAATTGTTAAATTAAGTAACAAAGAAATATTGACCTATAGAAGACTCTTGCAGAAAAAAATGGTTTATTCAATTTAAAAATTTCAATATATATATATATACATGAAAAATTGACCATAGTACGAGTCATACGATTGAATAAAGCAGAAAAATAAAATGGCCTAAATTTTTCCTTCCCACGTTAAAATCTGAAAAAAAGAGAAAAAAGGAAAACATATGTTTTTCTTTAATTTCTGACACTAAAAACGACTAGCCCTACTTTGTCATATTAACCGAAGTAAATCTATCCATCTCCATCCCCTTGAATGAGTTTACCACTACTCGACGATTCTTAATCCGACAACTACCACTACCATTGCTATCATCGTATAACCAAGTAATAAAGGAAAAGAAAGATTAGAGAAAAGGGAGAGAACGGGGTGGGAAATAAAAGATGGATGGAAAAGGTATATTCCGGTCACGATGATGGCAAAGCTGTTCAACACTGTCGATGGTATAAAGATCTTAAGAAAACACGGGGATGGTTAAAGGAGGGTAGGTGTGGGGTGGTGTGGGGGGTAGGAGGGGGTGCGGTGATAAATAAGAAGAAGAAGAAGAAAGGCAGGGAAATAGGGTAGAATGGTGGGGTAAAATGGGAAAAGGGGAGGAGGAGTTGGTCGTCTCATCTCTCCCGGACAGCTTCTTCGTTCGTTCTAACGTCATAAAAATAATCAGCGTCGTCCGATGAGTCCGGGAACCAAGTACTTTGATCTTTACTACGCGTTTGTTTCCTCGCGTTCTTGGAAGATTCTCTGCCATGGACGACGACGAAGACGACGATGGGCGTTGTGTGTCTCTTGTATCCTTTTCAAAAGGATTACCAAACGGGGGTGAAAGAAAGAAAGAAAGATAGAAGAAGTAGTAGAAGAAGAAGAAGAAGAAGAAGGGAAAGGAAGAAGGGAAAGGAAAAAGGGAAAGAGAAAATCACGTAACAAGGGAGAGAGAAAGAGAGAGA